CAAAACCAGATTTGTGATCCGAACTAAACTTGAAATCATAACAGGATTTAAGATAAGAGCCGGAATTGGAGTCAGAATCAAAATCTGACTCAGAACCGGATTTGCAATCCGATCTGAACTTGAAATCAGCACCGGATTTGGGATCAGAGCCGGACTCGGAATCAGAATCAAAATCTGACTCGGAATCGGATTTGTAATCAGAGCCGGATTCGTAATCGAAACCGTATTTGTGATTTGATCTGGACTTGAAATCTAAAAAGGATTTAAGATAAGAGCCGGACTTGGAATCAGAATCAAAATCTGACTTACAACCAGATTTCGGATGCCATCTGGATTTGAAATTAGAACCAGATTTAAGTTATGATGCGGATTAGAAATCAGAATCAAAATGATAATCGGAACCAGATTTATGATTAAATTCGGACTCTAAATCAGAACCGGATTTTTGATCGGAGGATGACTCAAAATCTAAATCACAATCTGATTTGGAACCGGATTTTGGATCAGAGCCTGATTTGGAATCGAAACCGTATTTGTGATCCGATCTGGACTTGAAATCATAAGAGGATTTAAGAAAAAAGAGCCGGACTTGAAATCAGAAACAAAATCTGACTTAAAACCGAATTCGCGATCCAATCTGGACTTGAAATCAGCACTGGATTTGGAATCAGAGCCGAACTCGGAATAAGAATTAAAATCTGAATCGAAACCGGATTTGTGATCAGAGCCGTATTTGAAATCGGAAAAGGATTTGTGATCTGAGCCGGGTTCGGAATTGAAACCGAATTTTTTATATGAGTAAGACTTGAAATCAGAACTGGATAAGGGTCGGAGGGGGAGTCAGAATCGGAATCACAATCTAAATCAGAACCGGATTTGTTACCAAATCCGGATTTGGAATCAAAACCGGATTTGTGATCCGAACTAAACTTGAAATCATAACATGATTTAAGATAAGAGCCGGAATTGGAATCAGAATCAAAATCTGACTCGGAACCGGATTTGTACTCAGAGCCGTATTCGTAATCGAAACCGTATTTGTGATTTGATCTAAACTTGAAATCTAAAAAGGATTTAAGATAAGAGCCGGAATTGGAATCAGAATCAAAATCTGACTTATAACCGGATTTCGGATCCGATCTGGATTTGAAATTAGAATCAGATTAAAGATATGATGCGGACTTGAAATCAGAATTAAAATCATAATCGGAACCAGATATATGATTAAAACCGGTCTCTAAATCAGAACTGAATTTTTGATCGGAGGGGGACTCAAAATCTAAATCACAATCTGATTTGGAACAGGATTTAGGATCAGTGTCTGAATTGGAATAGAAACCGTATTTGTGATCCGATCTGGACTTGAAATCATAAGAGGATTTAAGAAAAAAGAGCTGGACTTGGAATCAGAAACAAAATTTGACTTAAAACCGCATTCGCGATCCGATCTGGACTCGAAATCAGCACC